ATATATCAAATTTACATAGCTTTGGTGTCACGATTTTTATTTTTATATATTAGTATTGGTGTCTATGGAAGCCGATGATTCCCCCTTCGTTAACTACGTTCAAAGGCAAAGCCGTGACGAATGGTCCTGGGAACGGGTTCTTTCCTATCTCCGATTATCTATCGTCCTTACTCGAGGATATCTTGATAATCCGTTGGAAATAATGCGCCTCGGGAAGATTATATAGCCTAGGGGCATCTTCCGATAATGCACAACTGGAAACCCTTGTCCCACAGCAATACTAAATATACGACGAGGCCTCGTCGTTAGGGGGTGACCGTGGTACTGGAGCGTCTACAAATAGACCGGGAGCCCAGGAGGTTAGCCTAGAAGAAAAGTGTACCAATTTTCACAAGTATGGTATCGAAGCTTTCATATCTGGTATCATCAGAATGTAAGTCTGCCGAGTATCTGGTGATGGGTTTGGCTTTGAGGACTAGGATTCTGGGCATGAATTCTTGGGATAGATTAGCTGAAATCTGTACCACTTAAAACTGCTTTTGAGTTGTTCAGCACCACCAGAGGAATCATGAATGATCACTGCCAGACAGTTTATGCGGTGGGTTACCCCTAACAGAACAGACACACCCAATATGCCACGCCTGCCAGCTAAGCTAGATTAGCTTAAATCCGTACCGCCTAAAACTGCTTGGAAGTCGTTCAGCACCACAGGAATCATGAATGATCACTGCCAGACAGTTTGTGCGGTGGGCTACCCCTAACGCACATGCCCAAAATGCCAGCCCCGCCCCCTCCCCACCTAGGCTAGATTAGCTGAAGCCTCTACCACCTAAAACTGCTTGGAAGTTGTTCAGCACCACAGGAATCATTAAGGACCACTGCCAGGCAGTTTGTGCGGTGGGTTACCCCTAACACTAACAAACACTCCAAAAATGCCACGCCCCCAACTAGGCTTGTCTAGCGTATGCCTGTACTACCTAAAACTGCTTGGAAGTTGTTCAGCACCACCACAGGAACCAAGAATAACCACTACAAGACAGTTTGTTCGGTGTGGTACCAATGACAAAAAGTCCAAAATGTCACGCCCCGCAACAAGGCTACATAAGCTGAAGGATGATGCCACCCTGGGGAAATTTTAATATGCAAGATGGCCGTCATGAGACATTTTCTGGTTATTTACTTTAATTTAGTGGGGTAAAATTCGGGAGAGATTCTCTCAAACCTTGGTATGAAGGTAGTTTCTATAAGAATCAGACCCATTGAATCCGACGAGCTTAGGTGTTCCTCCTAAAAGTGACTGCTAATTCCACAAGGAAGCCAAATTCACAATGGTGTGTAATATATTGAAATATAGGTTTTTGTTGTCAATTACTTCAAATATAAACATAAAAAACATGTTTCGACCAAACGGTATTCGAATCCGATGATATTCTTTCCCTTGTATTTTTATAAGGACACAAATTATACACGGTCAAACAGAATCAACCATCAGGCCATCGTGAGTCGAAAGCAAATATTTATAAAAGCTAAAGAGAGGGTGACCGCGACTGGTGTCATAGTGGATCATAATGTATGCTTGACAATTCGCTCTATGAATTCGGCGAATCAGAAAACCTTAGTTTAAAACATTACTAACATCGTTATGTCTCGCCAAAATTGGTGGCCATTTTGAATATGACCTCAACCTGGAATACCCTTTGGTCGGAACATGTTTTTATGTTTATATCTGAAGTAACTGACACCGAAAACCTATATTTTAATATACTGCACACCTTTGTTAGGGGACTATATGGGTTTCCCTCCAAAATAAGCCTCCATTTTGAATTTGGCCCCCTAGCGGAATTAGCCATCACTTTTAGGAGAAATAGCAAAATTCATTGGATTCAGCCAGGGTGCCAGGGTGGCATTACCCAGATTCTGAATCTACACATAATAAAGACATATAATCCACCCAAAACCTACATTTCATTATATTGCACATCCTTTTAGTGAACTTTATGAGTTTCCCTCTAAAATGAGCCTCCATTTTGAATTGGTCCCTCTAGCGAAATTAGCCATCACTTTCAGGAGGAATACCCTAGCTCATTGGAATTAGCGGGTCGAATTCTTCTAGAAACATATTCAAACCGAGGTCCGAGAGCAGCTGTCACATATTTTACCCCACTGAATAACCAGAAACCGCCTCATGTCGGCCATCTTGAATATGTAAAATTTCCCCAATTCTGAATCAACACATATAGAAGATGTATATAAACACCAATAACAATTAGATGGATTATATTTCCATGTTAAGGCTTAAAATGGGGTTTGGCAACCGGAATTTATGGTTCGTATGTCAGTGGTCACTGAGTTGAACCACTACTTATTATTCTTCATACGATTACTTAATCTTTAATAGATATTACATACTCATGAAAATATGTAATACCCAGAATTCTCAATAAGTCTGACCCAGCTGATAAAGCCAAATTTTTGGGAGGGGGCGCTTGGCTGTCGTGGCTTATGGGAGAACCCCACCAAACAAACTCTCTAGCAATGGACAGTGTGATCCCTGGGGTGCTGAACAATTTCCAAGCTGTTTTAAGTGGTACACACTTCAGCTACTCTAGCCTAAGTGCGAGGCGTGTCATTAATTTCTGCGTGTCTATTAGGGATAACCCACCGTACAATTGGTTTGGCAGTGATCATTCATGATTCCTGTGGTGGTGCTGAACAACACCAAAGCAGTTATAAGTGGTACATATTTCAGCTAATCTAGCCTAGTTGCGGGACGGGGCATTTTGGGCGTTTCTTTCAGGGGTACCCCACCGCAATATCTGTCTGGCAGTGGTAATTCATGATCCCTGTGGTGGTGATGAACAACTTCCAAGAACTTTTAGGTGGTACGAACTTCAGCTTATCTAGCCTAGTTGGGGGGGGGGGGGGCGTTTATTTTCGTCGTGTCTGTCAGGGTAACCCACCGCACAAATTGTCTGGCAGTGATCATTCTTGGTTCCTGTGGTGGTGCTGAACAACTTCCAAGCAGTTTTAAGTGGTACAGATTTCAGCTAATCTAGCCTAGCTGTGGTCTGGCAATTACATAACTCTGTCGGGGGTACCCCACCACTAGAAATGTCTGTCAGAGTGTTTTTGCAATACTTGAAGATGTAAGGTACACTGATGTACCATTTTCATGTGGTACACATTTGAGCTAATCTAGCTCAAGAATTCATACCCAGAATCGCAGCCCTCACAGCCACACCCACCACCAGATACCCGGCAGACTTACATTCTGATGATACCAGATATGCCTGCATTAATACCATATATGTGAAAATTGGTACACTTTTCAGCTAGGTTGACCCCCTGGGCTCCTGCTCTAAAACTAGAGGAAAATAATACTTTTAAGAACAACTGACGTTTATTTCGGGTGCTGGTATATACAGTGTGAGTGAGTCTAATAATATTAAATGCATAATAATGAATAAAGAAAATACAAAATACATATTACTATAACACTAAGAAATATAAAATGTCGACTGATATATCATTATATATATATATACTTTATGTAATAAAGTGAACGTTAAGGATACCATACGTAGCGCATGTGCAATTGTGCATGCAATGTCCTTTATATGGAGAATGCATGCGCGCGTGTAATATTTGCAGAATATTTACATTATTAATTCTAGATGTAATCTATATAATCCATGAGAGCTGGATGAGATGTAGAGTTCTACTTGGAACATTGTACATCGTTTATATGTCACCCAATACGCTCGTGGATATTATTAACGAAACAAAGATTTCATTATTAACGCGTACACTAATTATGTGGTCTTTAAAATGTACCAACATTGTATGCTCAATATTAGAGGCTATTCTATTTGCTCCTCAATATAAAGTAATATACATAAAATATAAGACAATTAAAATATTACAATAAGACAATTAAAATATCAAAATAGACATAGTGTAGTTTAGACTTACCTAGAGGAATATAACACTTTTAAGAACAACTGACGTTTATTTCGGATTCTGGTATATACAGTGTGAGTGAGTAAAGAGAGACGGGACTCACTCCCATATATACCCTAACGGCGCTAACCCTTATCATCAGTGTTAAGTAAGTTTTAATCCTCTTAGTTTCTAAACTTGGTCTGAACCTATAACTGCAGGAACCGCAATTAATGTTTCGACTCGAACTATATAAAAGTTAAATAAGAGATCTTGAAAACCATTAAATGTTTAAATAATTATAATGTGAATGAACTGTGCAGGAAAAAGGCTTTTCGGTGAGATGTGATAAGACATGTATGACTAAAGATCTGAACGTAATATCTGTATACTATAACAGTCCTTATCTCGCTTCGTTGCGGCATCACCATCCCATGCTACCATTTGCGTAAAGGTTGAGGGTGGGGTATTTTGGGAAATCGAACTTGCGATAGATTTGATTGAACGGGTAGGAATAAACACACTCCTCAAAGGCACAAATATTAGAAGCTAATCCAGCAATGGCCAGAGAGGGATTTCTCGGCCATTGCTTCAGGAATATGCTGATTTGTAGGCGAATGGTTTATTTCAAAGCATGTTAGAACACAGGTAATATGACATTTTCTTACTACATAGTTGCCAATATATTACATAAATTGTTCTAAAAGCTCAGAAGATACAATAATGTAAAAACCTAAAAAAAAAAAAAATGTCTGTGTCGGAAAATTTGTTGATAAATCATAGCTACGCCACTGACACTAACCCAACTATAATGTGCCAACGGATATAAGAGAATCGACAATGTTCATTTCTCGCACCAATCACTAGAAAAAGTCCCAAAAAAACCCACCCTGAAAACTCCCAAAACACTCTTACTTCCTACGCTTGGCAAGAATTTTGAAATTTGCTTTTTTACATACCCGCTCTTCCCATCCATTTTGAAAAATCCTTTATCGCTTTAGCTCTATGATAGTAGGGTGACCCATGCAACAATAATTATCCGCTAAGAAATTCGGTCTTACCTGGAGAGTTGTTGACTGTCCAACGACGAATTTCTGAATGATGACAAAACACCGCCGGGTCCGCTGGGAGCACGTGCGAGTAATTCATCGCAGCAAATATCCACTATATATGGCCATGCACGTGGTATTGTCACAACATCAGATGGTAGATAAAGACAAGTTAAAATTTATTTCATCACGCGTTTGTCTTGAGAAATTATTTGATCGCAAACTACGTTCAAAATTCTAAAAATTATTGTCGTTTTTATTTTTCAATTCGCTATTTATCTACAGAGTGTTGTCATTTAGTTTCGGCGATTTCACATCTCCGTAGAACTTGTTTTAGACGGGATAAGAAAAAAAGCCGTAGTTATCTTTTAATTTTTTAAAGGTTCCTAATATCTTCGTGGAATCGCTAAGACGACTGGTGTCAAGTTAGAAAATAAACAAATTGTTTCGTATCTTAAATTTGCTACCGGGAATTAATCGAAACGCACAATAGTCTCGGTTGACTATATTTACTGTTCGAGACTATTGGCTTTTAGGGTTAAAGGGAAACAAATCTTTTTAATTTGTTTAGGAATTGACCGACTGACTTGTTTTAATTTGTTGTCAACCCATTCAATTAGCAAGCATGACGTCCAACGATGAATTACTATCCAGCATTGGTTTGGGCGATGACTAAGATCTCAGTACAATAACTAATCTTCACTTCGCAAGAATTACAAATACGCTAGTACTAGGCATTATTAATAAATTTCCGACCAATACGGAGCACCGGTCTATAATTACTGCTTTACATGACGACTGCGTGACGTTTGATAACAAAGGTATTCAAAGTAGGCTGGCTAGACTGAAGACAAAGACTAGAAAGCTGGGTAAAAATAAAAATAATTCTAATAACGCTTTAAAATTATATGACGATTATCTCGACAGTCCTTTTTTCCCCGGGTTAGTGGACAAGACACCATCGGCAGATACCAGCACGGTACATTTAATAAATAGAGAGACACAGACATCTGTCGATGCTGCGACTTTGACCAAATTAAATAGGAAAAATAAGAATTTATTAAGAAGGGTCAATACGTACAAAAAAAAAATTCCGTTTAAAAAATCGACTAAGGAAGACCTCAAAAGAATTGATTCGCGCGAAGGCTAATAATAATAAAGTTTTGGCATATAAAAAAACTGGTTGTAAGTCCCAACCTCGTGGCGAAGAAGTAATTTTGTATGTCAAAAATCAAACCTCAACGTTTCCGAAAAGAACGTCAACGCGGTTATAACCGCATGTTTGGCTGTCGCGGGACTGAAATCTAATCATGCCCCAAAAAGAACTAGAGTTTAAAGAATATCATGTGAGCGCGTGGTGTATCTTTAAAGCATGTTTCGGAAACCTTAAAGTCAGCAAAAAACACCACTTTATATAGGGACGACACTACAAAATTTGGCTCTTAATTCGGTACATATGCACTAACCGCTGACTCGACTCATACGCCAATTATTATTGGTCTTCGGAATATGGCTGATAAATCTGCGCAAACTACTCTTGCAACTTTAAATGAAATTTTGGCAGATCTTGATGATATAGCTGGGCCCATTAGTAAATCCGTAATTTTCGAAATTAGAAATACGATGTCAGACAGAGCCAGCACCGAAAAGTTCTTTAACAATTTATTTACACAGTACAGAGGCAATATTTGTTCTAAATTAGTAGAAAACTGGTCTGATTTATCAGATTCAGAGCGAAATATTCACCTAAATATAAATCATTTCTTTTGCGGTCTTCATCTATTAACTGGTTTGGCCGATAAAAGTGCGTCTGAATTGAAGAAATTTGAGGAAATGTATTTTAAAATGTATTCGGCCCAAACGTTTAAAACCGCTTCTTCATTTTTGCCAAACGAACCTGGGTGTGTTCGATTGGTTCGGACCATCTGTAAAGCCTTTACAAAGGGTGGGGACGAAAAGTCGGGTTGTTATTTGCCTTTTAAGTTGTATCTTAAGTCCCTTGGGATTTCAAAATTACCGCTAACGCCATTTCATGATAACCGGTTTAATATTATTTTCCACATTGTCGCAATTGTAAATTATATGGCCAAGCATATAACAAATTTTCTTGGTGATTTTGGAACAGAAAATAGATTGACCCAAAGCATATTTTTGGATATTAAAATTCCGTTATTTCATATTGAGTGCCAGGCTTTGGGCTTGATAGATAAATTAATTACAGCTCCACTGTGGCGCATTAATGCACTTGGCATGAAAACTATTTATCAGGAATTACATGATTTTTTGGAAAACCCTAATATTGAAAACTTTGTTGAAGGTAAATCACACCCATTTGAATCTCTAATTAAAATTGAAAATGATTCGGTCCTTGCTAACCTGACGAAATTTGATTCTGATTTAACTTTTAATTCAACCCTGATCCATATTTTGGAAGTCCTCTTTGCTGAGTTTAGAAAGTACATTGCAAAAATTTTACTTGAGTATCGAGATGACTTTAATCCTTCGTGTTCGAGTTCTGCCATGCCTCACAACAAATTACCGGAAACCGTGTTCAGTCATCTCGATAGATTAATCGCGCCCTCGTCTAATATTTTTGGCAACGAAGCGTCCATTTTATGTAAAATGAATAAATCTGATGAATGGCTAAAAAATCTTTCACCTGATAAACGTAATTTGGTCTTAATGGATGCTCAAACGATAACTAAAAATCAACTTTTTAAATTTAGGCAAAGACGGGAAGAAATCGAAAAGAAAAGCTAGCGGTTCTTTTGGCAAAAAAGAATGAATTAGTACAAAAGGGGAAACGTGAGATTAGGAAAAAAGAGCGCCTAACAACAGAAATTATCGGGGTGGGTCTTTGGAAAAGTAAAGAGGGTATGGAAAATGGGCTTTTACAACTTACAGATAGGCAAATAAAAGAGGCACTGAAGGCACAGCTCCGGTTTCGTAGGTATGTTTTAAATCAGCAAGTTTCCAATAAGTCTATATTTTATTTTTCTGTCGCCGGTAAGGAACACTCGATTTCAGTTTTAAAAGAAAATTTACAAAAATTAATTGACCTGGCTGATCCTACCTAACCGGAAGAAACTTTCAATGCCCCTTTTTAGCGGTTATAAAAAAATACAATTTCTTCATTCTTCGTTTCTAAAACCATTTTATTTGTCAATCCAGACGTCCCAGCAGACCGACATTCCGACACTTCTCACAGTATTTTAACAATTCATTATTTAATAACTGTTTTCTTTAAACCAATCGGTTGATTTTCAGATAGCAATTTATGTTACAAAATACGCCTACTACTGTACATCTGCTTTGATATCGTGCTTGAAAAGTTGCCCTTGAGATACTCTAAGTAAAACATAACTTTTTATTTTGTCCCAAGGGGAACAATTTGGAATATATGTTTATTACAGATTAGTTCTAAATTACATATCTGTGTTTGGTAAATAATGACTATGTATTATTTATTATAAATTGATTTGTGAAATGTCGTAACAGATCGTGTTTTTGGATAAGATTTGAGTTACGCTTTGTTTGATAAAGTGAGTACACCTGATCTAACATACAGGCATGTTGATTCAGAGGGCGTTGGTCACGATGAGATGTGTTTTTGTTAATGTTATCGATCGCTTTCAGTCCCTATAAAGTTATAGGAAATACATATTAAAATAATCAGCATATTTATTCTTGTGTAAAAGCTATCATACAAGAAGGAACGTCCTCCCGAATTTGAATTTGTTCTTAATTATGTATCTTCTAGTTTGTATTCACTTATTCAAACCCAACTACAAAATGTCAATGTACATCTCAAATCTGTACATAACTTGATCAGCTATTGCATATTTTTCATTTAGATTGATTAAAATAGTCTGTCATTATTTATTTAATACTCTAATTACTCCATGAAACTTTTCGTCAATATACATACTTTCCGAACATTATTTCTTAAATGGGATATCAAATATTAATTTACAAAGGCACATTCACATATAAATACCAATATAAACAGACCTATGTTTCTATGGGTATACAGAAAATATAAATAGATTGGTCTAATATATCTACAAAAACTTAAATTTAAATTGGACTGCACACATCAAAATTAAGCACACGGGAATGGCCGATCCAAAACTGAGCTGCGTTGCGCATGCTCGAAAATCTTAAATTCAATCGAAGCATGGGGCCAATTTCATCAGATAGCAAATTACGAATTAAACGAATAGTCCCGAATGGTAGTGATGGTTCATACTTATCGGAAAATAAATCAATAATTTGAAATAACCAAGAGAACATAACTCCGTCAACATTGAAAACCCAAAATAAATATGTCCGCGGATGGTGCACAAAAGCAGTGTATTTTACAATGCAGTCGAATGGATATATCTTGTGAAATATAGCACGCAGGTACAGTTTCTTGGCAGTTTATAATAAAGGATCATCTAGGGTTGTTATTTATATAAATATAGTGCCATAACTGTAAATAGTTTTCGAGATTTTTTTCGGCTCGGGCCACCCTATCTATAGCATGATACGGTTTCTACAAGTATAGTATTGCCTTCCCACAATAAATTAAAGATGGGTTCCCGCGTACAAACTGGGTGATTTAATGGTATATATGGACCAAAAACATATTCAAACTAATTAATTTGTCATAATTATGCTTCAAATCCTTCTCAAACATTGTAATTGCGAAGGAATGCCCTGCTATTAAAATTCGATCAAACCAGGTCATGTTTACGTCACGTCTTGGGAGTCAGAGGAGAAATCATTGCACACATAAGACGATGTTGTCTTTAATCGCTTACTATTTATTACAAATATCGAATCCTAATTAAATTCTCGGATTATACACTACCCGCGTCTTTTTCCGTCATTTTTATCTCAGAAAGTATTGTACGTCTAACTCTTCATAAAGTTTATCAACTTGTACATCAAGCGCTCAATGTTCGCTTGTGACCTTTGACATCGTGCGTGCAGAAGGTCATAATCGTCGGGCTGTTGATTAGGGGAACCCTTACATTTTTGTCCTG